TAACCTTTTGTTTTAATTTGCTATTTCCATGGTAATAGGCTGAGATTGCCTTGTCTGTTGACGACGGAAGGATAAAACCAACTGCAAGAGGATGGTGGTCTATGCGATAGGATATGTCAATACTAAGCGGAATCACGACAGTAAGGATGACCAAGACTCCATCCTGAGCAAAAGGAGTTATTCTGCTCCGCATCTTCAGCTTTTGTCCGAATGACATGGTACCACGAAGGACGAGACAACTGGGCATTGAAAAGGAGTGAAGAATGCGACTGTAATTAGCGCATTCCTACACATTCTCGCCTCAAAATAGCCAACACTTTCGGCTCAGTTGAGGGAAAGGGCAGTGCACAGTGCCTCGGGCCAGACACATTCCTGCAAAGCAGATTCCAATGTCTGATCTTTAACTGTGGCTGAACCGCAGTCGCCTCAGTCGTTGCTTGGTCCTCCGGTCGAGTTTCCAGCTGGGCCGAATGCCTGATCGAACTGTATGTCATTCAATTGGAAATCTCCCACAATTAGAGACATCACTTTGAACCGGGCCGCCATTCTGTTCAGGGTTCTTTTGCACCGTTGCATCATCTGCACTGGTTGCCACTCTTCCCGCCACTGCCCCCGCAGCTTCCGGTGCCTGTTGCAAAATGCTGGCCGGAGGCTGAAGCACTCCACCTCCCATTATAGCCACATTTTTCGTTGATAATAAATATTTCCCGTCTTTGCGTTTTCACTTTTCACCAGCATCCCACCGGTTTTTGTGCCTTTCATATACAAAAGTCTGAGGATGCCCTTAAGAGGCGATTCAACTATTCGCATCAATACACACTTTATGGATATATGATGTACGATATGCATATAGAAATGCATAAATAAACAATATTCACTATTCCCTATCATATAGGAACTAATAGTATAAATATATATATGTGTTGATACTATGTGTTTGTATATGAAATTGAATACAGTTTTCGAAGAGTCCTTCTCCAAGCCTGAAATATGCCCAGTGAGCCTTGGAATTCTGGGCTTCCCGAGCAGGCCCTGGACGGATCGAGACCATTCTTTCGTGTGGACTTGAAATGGTTCTTTTAGGCTCGTTAATCTGATGTTCCATCAAGTTGGCGTGCGACACTTTGGAAGTACCGTATTGGCACTTTCCTGCCGCAAGTCGACATGTTCACCGAACTGACGCCCTGAATGGTTCAGGAGGTAGCTGAGAACCTCGAGGTGCCAGAAACCTGAAGTAATAGACCATCTCGACTTCAAGTTTAGCCCCCAGCGATGATTAGCTTTATAGTGTGAACAGAAAATCTTCAACCAATTTCAAAACGAACGGACCACCAAACAGGATTGGGAAATATCCTTAAAATATAGTTTGCATCCACGTGAGATAGGACAATTTTCGAGGAATTACAGCCAGTAATGCCTCTTGATCTCCGTTGCCATAAAATCAGCACCTGGTCATC